TTGTTTTCTTCATTGTATGCTTCCATGTAGTTTGCTTCAGTCTATTTAGCTTTCCACGGGAATTGCAATAGCATCCTCAGTAATCACGTTTGGGTTGCCTGTAACAGTGTTTTTACACTTTAAAACTGTAGCCACCAGCAGGTGTTACAAGTATACTTACTAAATATCTTATCCCTGAATCTGACGATCAAGCAAGAACAAATTGAGTGGCACCAAAAATGCATACCAACGGTGTGTTTCGACATGTCGAAGGATGTTATTTAATACCAATGACAAAACTATGTAGGAAAAATAAAACAATAACAATGCAACATTGTATTACATACGAACCATTTCCAACGACATATTTTAGAAATTAGCTCATCGGCAGTACTTCGTGGATTACCTGTCATCTGGATTTATCGCATCACCTCAAATCCCCACTCGACCTATGTTTTTAATTTGTCAAAACCCTCTTACGAATGAAAGTATACGATCAAGTAGATTGAAAAATTATTTTGAGAATAATGATAAGGACGAAATAGGAAAGTATGTGGTTCTTTCAAAAAAAAACTGTGGAGCAGTTTAGAAAATAGATCAGGTTTAAAGATAGTTTCCGATAGCGTAAAATATGGCCAATGGATTTACAGCGTCTTATAAAACGAGCAAGTTGATTGCCAAAAATTACAGCGCGCATTATGTTGGAGAAAATATTATCTTGCCTTCAGTATTATTGATACTGTCTGATCTGATGTATATGAACCCCCGAGAAGCAGTTCAAGTCATTCCGCCTAGAAAAGCAACTGTATCTAGGCGAGTATATGAGATGATTCAGCATATGGAAAGCACCTTAGTTACTGTACTAAACTCCAGAAAACTTACGTTACAATTGGTTGTATTTACTTTACCTGACGACGAGGCTCTTCTCGTGGCCTCTGTCCGATTCTTCAGTGATAATGAATTGGTGAAAGAGATTCTGTTAGGAGAATTAAGACTCATGCAAATGGCCAGTCTATATTTGGGGTAGTTAGTAGCTATCTGACTGAAAACTCCATCATAATACAGAACATGGTTCCACGAGCACCAGATGTACTGCCGCAGCAGTCGTAAGATATAAACCATTTATTGCCTATGTAAAACTTTCATTTTTTCTGTTCATGCAATTCACTGTGTGACTCATCGCGAGCACCTATTGGCTAAGTACTTGGGAGGGCGCTTAAACAATTCACTGTCAACTGTTATAATAGAAGTCAACAACAGCAAATCAACCCTCTCCAAAACTGCCCTTTCTAATAGTTGGGTGAGTAGAACTCTGAAGATTTCCAGGTTCTCCTGTTAGATGGCTCTCCAAGCGCTACTATCTTCGCCGTTTTGTTGCACTGTGGGTACGAGCTCTCAACGAACGGAAGGATGTTGACGTGGTGTACATCGACTTTAGTAAGGCGCTTGACAGAGTGAACCACGAGGTACTCCTTCGTAAAGTGAGGACATACGGAATCGGTGGCACGTTACTTCAGTGGTTACACGAGTTTATTGTGGGACGAAAGTTTAGAGTACAGGTCAATGACTACCTGACAGACTGGTTCCCATCGACTAGTGGTGTGCCTCAAGGAACTGTACTTGGGCCAGTATTATTTCTTATTCATATCAACGATCTTCCGCAGCAGCTCCAGTCACCATGTGCCCTGTTTGCAGATGATTTGAAAATCTGGAGGATCACTGAGAACCAGGACGACTGCGCTCGCCTCCAGCATGACTTAGAGCGACTGTCAACGTGGTCCACTGAAATGCAACTCCCTCTTGACGCAAGCAAGTCGGAGTTCATCAGTATCACCAGACGCCCAGCCACTTGATCATACATCTTGGACGGCCAGTCGCTCCATCCCAACACATCTGTCAGAGACTTAGGAGTTCTCTCATGACATGATATGAGATCACTAGAAAATACAGAATAATCGTACCGTGCGGCACTTCGTATGCTCTGGGCATTAAGGCGCAGTTTCTCCACATGGTCCGAAGAAACCGTCCCTCGTCTATTCACCTCGCTCATTAGACCAATCCTTGAATACGGTGCCCCAGCTTATCATCCGATAACCCAATAGGAAACTGAAAAGCTGGAGAAAATACAACATATCGCAACTAGAATGATACCGACCCTACGAAAGCTCGGACTCTACATACTATCCTATCGCCGAGAAAGAATTGACCTTATTATGACCCATCGAGTACTACACTTAAATCACTTCCCCATACTGAGGCCAATATTTCACCTGCGGGGACCCTGTAACACCCGAGGACACCGTTACAAACTCAGGGTCCCCAGTATGAACAAAGCATCACATAGATTTGTATCGAACGAAGAATCGTAAACCTATTAAATACACTACCCGAATGATTATTAGAGGCCGATTCTGTGAAGTGTTTTAAAACGCGTATCGAAGACTATCTCTGAAAACTGTGCTTCTGTGAAACGATGCACATACAATGCCAAAAGAAGACATTGTATGACGGAAATAATGGCACCAATACAAATTTCTAACAGAACACGGATAAACGATTAACGGACCAGAAACAACTGCTGATGATTCACAACGAAATGTTTTTGATTATTTGTAATTCGATAGAGTTGTATAGAAACTTTTCTACTTGCTCTTAAATACAGTCTCAGTCTCAGGACACCATCAGCACATTCCTTGCTGAAACTGATTATGAAGTGTTAACAGCTAAGCCAGATGCTGATGTTTTCTGAAAAACTCAACTTTTGAAATAAAACCAACAAGTTGCGTAATTTCATCTCGAGTAACGAGGCCATTATCACTTTTCTTATAATGCCATAAGTGAATGCTCAAAACATCGGATGTCCGAAGTTTTCAGTGTTCCCAATTCTCGCTACAGTCACGGAAGAGCTGAAGCATGAAGATTTGATTGTTTATGTCAGTCATTTAAAACAACTCCGAAAAGCAATGAAAGACGGGTTTCATGACCTGATTGACATGGGAATCCTTATTTGAATTTTAGGCCCATTTGATGCACAGCCCTGCGATGTTGGAGTTGGATTCCATCAGGCTCACAGAGCTTCAAATTGCGACACTAACAAGATACAAATTCATGCAATACAAAAGGATTTTTTGATAAGGACTGATGCCCATAACATATATCCCATACGGTGGGAAATGGCTGGAATATATTTCCTTGCTTTTCCATCCACATACTTAGCTGAATGTGGATTCAGCAAAGTGGTTTTTGTAACAAAAAGTAGAAAGAGATCGGACATCGTAGTAAAGGGAGATCTTAGACTCTCGTTATCAAGTCTGGAGCCGAAGATAAGCAAGCTTGCTTAAAGACATCAGGCTCAAGGCTCGCATTAATATTTCGACAAATATATTCTTAAGAAGTTACTTTATCTATTAACTCATGACATGCCTTATATTTAAAAGCCGAGTAAGAAAATACAATTTTAATAATAATGATGACTTTTGTGTAATTACAGACAAGTGGCTTAATGTTACTGCACAATGAATGTTATCTTGAGGCTGTGAAAGTTAAAAAAGAGGTTTATAAGGGAAAGAGCAGTGATACCAACGGTAAAAATTTAGCCGCCATACCAATAAGACCACTGAAAATCACCGATTTACCTCTGTTAGGCATTTCGGACTGCCGAACTTGTGGTGATCAAGTGAGGGGGCCAAGAGAAATTAAAGGTCCAAAAGAGGGCGACGGCTGAATAAAGGTCGAAAATGCCTGGTATAGTCTATTAATCCATCGCTCGTCAACGCTCCAATCAGATGCAGGTTTTGAGCTCGACAGTTGGGCACTTTACACTGCGCAGGAGTTCCACGCGGTGAACGCCCCATGGTGCGAGCACAAAAGAGATTGAGATTGGTTTCATCTATCTACACGGTTTGTCTCCCTTCGGCCTCAGATTACAGCAGTGTCAAAACGTAAGCTTTTCCCCGCATTTTGTTCTCATGTGTGTTGGCTGATTCCGGAACTGCTCGCAACTGCTTCATGGTACTTGGCCGTCCATCCAAGTATGGTGCAATTGTAATCACGCTTATCTCAACCGCAGACGTAGTGCTTGGAGAGTGACCGTAAGTACTTTCGACGATAATTCTACCAAGCAATCAATCTGGCTTTCTGTCAAAGACCTTCGGCGTCCCCAAACACGCTTTTCTGCTTGTCTGATTGATTCCAACCGTTTTATCCAACTGCGGTGGGTAATCAGGTTTACGCGCAATATATGTGCGACAAGCTTCCAGTGGTGAGCCTCTTCATAAGTCTTAAGTAGCAGATTCTTCACCTCCGCCGAGTGCCGCGTATGAGTGCCTTTTTGTGACATTCGGAGCAGAGCAAACTGTTGCACCAATTGCACGGTTCCACTCAACTTGGCGTGCCTATGGAGTTAACTTCACCGCTACGTTAGTCACCGTACCAGTGCAGTCGGTGGCAAGCAGATCACGTGATCTCACGTCGCGAACACAGTCCATGGGTATGGCTCATACGAAGCTTCAAACGAGACCGATGCACGCATTTGAGTATAGGATGCAAGGAATCGAGAAAAGGTATAGTGAAGAGAAAAAGCCCGAAGGTTCAAGCCGAAGAGTTATCGTTTAGGCGACAATCAGACACAATCAGAAGTGGTTAAAAGTTATGGTAACCACGTATGGAGATGTTGCCGGATTGACACAGTAAAGTCTGTAATGCCATGAAATATAGTAGAATTGAGTGTTCATCTAACAACGGGTGCACATAGCAGGGAAGCCGAGAAGCATACAGACACCAATAGCCATAAACAGAGAAATAATTACATTATCATCAGGTACAAGATTAAATGAGTCAATGGCCAGATACATAACAGAACCTACGCGAATAGATGTTGCAGTGCAAATTAGAATAATTTTAACCTTCTTCAGGCAACGAAATCCCTTTTCCGTGTAAAATAAGAGGAAACTATGAAGGAATTTCTATCCAAATAGTACTCGGTCGATGTGTGAACCTCACCTCAATGTTCAGCAACTAACCTCTCGTACTTGCCGCTCCCGTAGCTCGGCCTCAGCAATGGCAGTTAGCCTAGCACGTTCCTGTTCCAACCGCGCCTCCTCTAATCTCTCTTCACGCAACCGCCTAGCTTTTTCCTCCTCCTTTTGACGACGCTTCTCTTCTATCTGTTCCAAATTAATTCGCTGCAGAGAACGAAAAAGGAAGGGCTTTAAAAATGTAAAGGAGCTATAAATAAGCCGTCATGGGTCCGTAAAAATTGCGAATAAAACCCTTCAGTTTGAATACGTGATCTATCAGGCAGCACTCCACAACAGGGCGTTGCTCTACACACAAGGATTGACAGCTAATCTGCCCGCGGTGATACTGCTCCATACTACTAAAAGTTTATAGTAAGACAAGTGGACAAAATACCAACCGGGCCAGATAGTAGAGCATAATTAGGATAAAAACGTAAAGTTCGGCAAAGGCAACATGTGAACAACTATTTAACTGTTTTATCCGTTGATGGTAGAACCGATAGGTCTTACGGCTGTAACGAAGTAAAATTAACATATCGACACAGAATAGTCAGATAACGAAAAGCTAAGAGCAGGATTCAGGCATCCCCACGTTTAAGTGTTTCTAAAATCATTATATCAGCTTGTATTGTAATCGTTAGTAGACTGATCCCTAAGATAATGCAATGGTCTGAGTACCTCAGTGATCCAAGCGCCCTAAGAGTTACTCAAACTAGACAGGTCAATGGCTAAAAGTGAGAATGACAGTGTGAGCAACTACTTCGGATGTTGGAGAGAAGTCGATGGCCCTCTTCCTTTAAAACTTAACCATGGGGAACAACAGGTAGCGGTCTATGAGCTCACAGTGTCACGCGCTGTCTCTGACAGTGAAGCAGCACCATCCAACACTTGATGGCTTGCTAACGCTCGCCCCTAGATAGGCAGCACCTGGTCAAATCTGCGCAAATGCATCCACTCCCACTTGCGGCTAGGCGTAGTCGCAGGCGCGCAATACACTATGGTCAAAAAACATATGTAGAATGTTTTAAATCATCAAAGACTGGGTATGACCAACCACAAGTAGATCCCAAGAGGTCTCTGTAATAACGCTCTCGGGCCGAAGTTTTTCCCCATTGCACTGTGGGTCTGGATAGCGAAGCAAAGTCTCTGGGTGGAGTCCCTCAGTTGAAACTCCATGTATCCCACTGCTACGTGGATCAGACTGTTGATTCAAGGGCTAGACGTAAGGTACATTGAACGAAAGCATCAGAATGGGCAACCGGAGACTATCACTTTCTCTCTAGACCCCACTGCCAATACTTCCTCCTGCTTCTCTCTACCCATGCAATTCTTCTTCCGCTACCGCTGACCCGCAACTGACACTGTCGATAAATTTAAATGGTCTCTCAAATTAAGGGTCTCATTTCACATCCCTTTGCCTAACTCCACACTCTGGGTCAGATCGGTTAACAGGCAGCCCTAACTCTTACTCTGCAGCCTCTTGGTATCGATGTGTCGGGTCTCCAAAACACAATTACAAGATAACAGCGTTGTGAGAAATCCTCGGCGCCCTGGTTCCGAGTCTGCCGACAATGACTACACTCTTCGTGCCACTGGCGATACTTAATCAACAGTCCAAGGTATTTTAGCTTCGGTATCGCCATCAGCAAAAATCTACTCGATTGAATGCCAATGAACAGCAGAATGTGTGCGGTTCCAGTTTGATCTTTAATTTGGATTAATAAGCATCGACTGAAGACTAGGCACCTTTACATCGCTTCCGTTTATGCTCCCACTGTCTGCAGTTCGGAGGGCAGCAAAGACGATTCCTATCCTCAGCTCTCATCACATACCAGCATGGTAAAAATTACTGATAGCGCGATTGTTGCTGGTGACAAGGCTCATGCGGGTCTTTCAGACTCTGAACAACCCTTGGGAGGCCAATTCAGAGTCAATGCACAATGAACAGACAATGGTGATCGACTTCTGCAACTATGTGCCGACCATAATCTTCATAGTCGCCGCACTGTGTTCCAGTACAAACGTTTACATCGTGTCACTAGGCGCCCACCGAATTCATCGATGACGAGGACCCAAATCGACCATACTGCCATCAGCTACAGATGGTGCGTACTAGTCCAAAACTGCCAGTAAATCTGGAGAGGTATCTGGGTTCTAACCATGCTCTGGTGCGCGCGTCCCCAGCGCCCACTCTTACCGCCTCAAAAAAGTGCATAGCTTCTAAGCCACTCAAATGCAACAGAACTCCAGATCTTCAATTTAACAGTATGATGACGAACCAACTCGCCAGTTGCCAGTGGTGGAGGAAATTGGTGAACCGAGCACTGATTGGAATCGTCACAAGTGTATCATAAGGAATGCGTTTCATACCTGCTGTACGACCAAGTTGAGAAGTCAGAACGATAAATGGATCTCTGAGGCATCGAGCAGTTTGGTCGAAGCACGGAAAGAGGTTCCGCTGTGTACTGAGTTTCACTGTGCCCATAACTCCCTAAAACAATGACTGACAGGAGTCTTAGAATCGAATGAGAATCCTGGCGGGTAGCAAAAAAACTGTGAGACGGAGAAATCCCGTGCTTTTGGGAACGGATGAATACTGTTCCAGCTCATCTGGAAACGGATCAAAAAAACCTCAGCCGAAAAAAGATGGATAGTCGCGTCGACTAGTCAGTTAGGCGGAACACTTTGAAGAGTCGTTCAACAGGTCAGCTGCGACATTGGTGTTTGCTGAATCCCCTAAGCAGAGGTGGGAGGTTGATGCCACATCCACTTTGGGGGAAAGTCAACTTGATCTTGCTATGTTGAAAGAATACCACGCTCTTGGACCCGACGTCCATCCAGGAGCCTAGCTGAAAAATGGAGGGGACTCCTTGTTGACCGGACTTGCTGCTCCATTCAACACTAAATGGGACACTGAGAAGATTGCAACAAACCAGCGACCACAATTGTCGTCCCTACCATGAAAAAAAACCGAGAACTTTGCTCGAAATCCTAGAAAGATAATCTTGTTTTCACTGTCTCCAAACTCCTCACAGATAGCATTCTTCAACAACTTAATGGTAAGCGTGAGATTCGAATTATTGAAAGCCAAGATAGCTTCCGACCACGTACTTACTCTTCGTCACTTTCATTTCAGACTTGACGTAGGTTGGTACTTCTCCAGTGTCAGGCTGGGATCCCAAGGACGATGAACGCGTTTTATTGGATACACTTGCTAACATGGCGAAGAGCGGACCGCAGTGGCGTTCGCGTCACGAGTTTCTTTGTCCCTTTCCCTTCAGTCACGATCTCACACGGCATGCATAATATGATAATTGGAGTATTACTTGTTTTGAGTAGTTAGTATGCATTCCGGAGGCTAAGAATACTGCGAGGGTCGCCCGGTCCCTACGCAGGCTCGAACCAGCACCCTCGGATTACAAGGCAAGCTTGTGATCCTTAAGGCCGGCGTGAGCACTGACGTTATGAAAGGATTGGGGATCCTAGCTCACCAGCGCTTGCAAAGTAGTTATTACATCTGGTGGGAACACCGGGTGAACAAATTTGAAATGTGTCAGCTGGTTTTTGGCAAGAAACCCTCTGTTGCTTCACGCGAGTAATTGCTAAAGCCTAGTATTTCGTCAGTATAATCGCTGACTGTCTTTCTCGGCGTGCATTATATGCTGGCTCTGCATCTGAATGGAGAAAACTGCGAGATGGCCAGTCTATAAAGTGGCATAAAGAAGGAAAAAACGATTGTGACTTGGTCAGGCTGATGCGCGCCGTTTTCATGGATGGAGACCACAAGATGGTCCATATTCGTGGTTGGATATCTTATCGGAGGATATGGCGTATTCGATTTTTAGCATCAAGCTGCCAATATTCACTCCATTCCAATTCGTGCTACTCATCCCATTATTAACATTGCTTTGTATACTGTTAGCCTACATTTTTATACAACCGATATTTATTGTTACCCTGGCGATGCGAATCACGGGAACTGGATAAAACGAATTTCCGTGCTCAGATCATTGTTGGTTAACTGAACTGATGTTGAAATCGGCTGTCGAGAGTTGCTTGAAGTTCGGACTATCATGCTGAAATAGATTATGCACCCGCTTCAACACGCGAGTAAGCAGTGCAACAACGGAACTTGCAGTTCCATCCAGTTCACTGATATGAGAGTCACCAGACATCATAAAAATAAATAAAGAAATATGAGGGAAAAGAAAGCAGAACCAAGCATAAGAGCATAAAAGGCCTGGGTTGCGGGATGGAACAGCAGTTAAAAGCAAGCGTCAGTTAGAGGTATGTGTTGAGACGCAAAGGGTCACAGGAAACATTTATCGTCGGACCCGAAACTCCTATTCATCTAGACTGCGTCTCCCCAAGTATTGTAAGAGTTATACCACGCCAGAGTAAGCGACTGGCGGAGGTATGAAAATGACCCAAATGATGTGTACAGGTAACACTCGAAGGTGGACGCGTTAGCAGAAAGTAACGGTAAGGCTCACTAGATAGTCCAATTAGTCATGATTAATCCTTCATAGGTGCTTGTGGTCGAGGCTCTTTATGTGCATAACAGACGATGTCCACGGGAAGCAAGGACGCTTGTGCAACAAAAACGAGTCTGAAATATGGTCCTTACGTATGTGTACTTATAGTTAGTTAGGTTCTTGTATTGAAATGAAACTTCATTCAAAGAGAAGTGTCAGAATGAGTATGGAAAGACTTGATGCTGGACAGGTTAATTCGCATGGAACTACGGATGACCTTGTATTAGGCGTAAATCTATCCAGCAATTGCATTTGTTTAGTATATAGATCGGATCAAAAACAGACACACAGCACTACGCGCAAGGTGATGTGGTTAAAAATTCACACGGCACTGCTAATCGTCGCTGACAGTAGAAATTCAGGTAAGCACAGACAGGTGTAGTGAGCACCGCGAGTAGAAAGTTAGCGAGTTGGTGTGCTAGACCAAATGGACCACCTCAATATTACATGGCAGGGAGTAGTCGATACCGGAGTTATCGGAAAAGAGTGGACCACAAGTCGCTGTTCTTGCATAGCGTAAAAGTACATCCATACACCACAGTTCCGATATGAAGCGGGAATGATCAGGCAGGAGAACATGCGGGTGAGATCCACGATCGCCAAGGAACTAGGCCAGTGTGAAGCACGGATAGGAATGGAAATATCTTGTGGTATAACAGTGTACACCGAGCGTGGATGAATTAAAAGTTCAAGTACAAGTTGCATAAGCATATGACGGGCGCAAAGTTAGCATCATTTAGCCGCTAATTATTCATACGTTGGTGGAAGCATGCGTGCAAGATGTTGAGCGTAGCCACCGAGAGTAATGCCCAAATTGATGGATTCACGGGGCCGTTTGAAGATGGATGGATTGGAGAAAAAGCGTGACCAAGCGATGAGCTGATCAAGATGTATGAAGGCCCTTACTTCGAAACTGGCCTCGGTTGGAGCTTCTCGGCTAACTGATTAGGGTCCGAAAGACGATGAACACGTTTGGCTGGATACACTTGTTTACATGGCTGGGAGCCAACCTCAACGGCGTTTGTGTTGTGAGCTTCTTTATCCATCCCCTTCCGCTTAGCCTCCGCTTCCAACCACGATCTCATTTATCAGGCATAATATAACTCTTTCTGTGACATAATAACCGACTGTTAGCTCTCCGGTGACTCAACGGGCGTGTCTTCGTTGCAAGTTTGTTATTCTTTCCCTTTGTACTGCGGCACAATAGTTGAGCTATTTTAGACCTGTAGCTAACGTGCATAGTGATGAATGATGATGAGGAGGGATCGTAAGCAATAAAAACAAACACAGCATAAGGGGTGGAGGTGGAAGGGGCTAATTGATAGCACTGCTATCCATAGAACGATGCAAATCGTGTTAACCTAAGAAAGGAAGATATTGTGCTTACAGAAATTTCTTGCGCCCGACGCATTCGCGCGGCTTCGTCCGCTGGGCTAGAGTATAGTTCGTGGGTGAATCCACGTGTACGATGGAAATGAAGCTCAGCGTTAGAGTTTTGATCGGACAACCTCGTGGGAGGAAATTGTGGTTTCATAACAGGTGCAGGGATAGGGTACATGACATCAGGAACCAAGGTGGATGGCAGGAAATGGCTGTCCGAAGGATGCGGATGAGTGGAGTCGGATGGGAATGCTTTCGCGCTGATACGAAAGACAAATATATGCGAGTACAGGGTAAAAAAATAACAGAGTTAAAGAAGCGAAGACTCGGATAAAAAATAATATGGTTCCGATAAAGTGAGGAAGCATCATCAAGGCGAGTGACACATAAGAGCGTTGAAGTGAACAGTTTTAAAAAATCTGCGCGCTAGAGTAGCAAAAGAAAACGCTTAAGACCTTTACTGCGACCCGCAGACTTGAGAAATGAAGTGCCCCAAACTATATATAGGAAGCGATGAGTCTGAGTAATGGAGGAAGATGAAGACGGTATTCCAACTTAAGGAACATCAAAGGTCAGTGAACAGTGCGATGAATGTGAAATCAATCAGTGGGTCCGTTGAGAGGGGATAGTGCAATGATGGCGATATGAGTGGTAAAAATGCTAACTTGTGCGCACCATAAATAGCAAATGTGACTGACCTGCCAGATGGAGTGGAGCTAGGAGGCTCATATGCAGAAACAGACGGTAGGCGTTGAATCGGCGCATGGATGGCAACATGAGGTCTGCAATCTTCAAGACGCTGTTTTTCCTGCAAAAGACGCCGTTGCCGCACCTGCTCATCCAATTCGGCTTTCCAACGACGACGTTCCATCTCCTACACCACAGAAATAAATATCCGACATAATAAGCTGGGATTTAAAGAGTTGCATAGGTGCTGATGAGAACTGTGCTGTTGCAATACACAAATACTGGGTGAGTAAATGTTTCGTAAAGGGTGAGAGACATTAACACCGAGAGATTGATGCAACGGTGTATTCTATGTGAGAAGTGCTGAGGGAAAATATAAAACGGGATGCAAACTTTTCGATTCCGACAAAGACCATGTAAATACAAAAAAATCCTTGGCGAAAAACGCACTCGTTTTAAGGACTCCGCATCCTCGCTAGCAGCGAATGCCACTGGGGTGAAAGATGGCGCATGTGAAGTTGTGACAGCGATAGAAGAGGAACTTGATGTAACAGCTGTGTATGAAGACCCCATAGAATCCACCATTACCGGAGCAGTCGGGTTTGGGGGGTAAAAGGCGGTCCGCCCATTCAGGTTTCTGCTAATATTGGCCGGTGTGAATTTCTCCCATGGGTCATATGAACCAATCTTTGTCAACTCGGCTGAAAGTTTAAGTGTGCGAGTATACGTTACCTGATCACGATGCATGCCGAATAGCGTAAATACACAATGCGTATTAACAACGTGTGTACAATGTACATTTTTAGTGGGAAACTCCAACACAGCCGTGGAGAACACTCACGGCAGGAACGATGAGAATGAGTAAAATGTGAGCTGCTGGTTTTACAACGGGGTAAAAGCCTTGACAGACATCGTCAGACATTATCTAGAGGTTGTTGTTTCAGTGAGTAATAAGACGCTGAACAGAGAGGGTAGACCAAGTAGCGGTGAGTCATCAATATGCTTAGAGATGATGTCGTCATTACTAACCACAGCCGTATATCAGCCATTTGAACTGATGCTTTGCTGCCATACAACCACGATGACCTGAAAAACTTAATGCCCTGAGCAAACATTTAGGGTCAAGGCGCCTACGCCTTGTGTTAACAACATACGGTCACAAACAGCTGGCTATCGTGCAAAAATAAAGCGGCATCGGTGAGACAGCTTCCTTGCGGTCTTCACTGCCCCGCGTTAGAAGCAGCCACTACCCCGCACATAACTCAGCACCAAACATAAGTTAAACAGGCAGTCAGACTAAAAGACAGCAGCAGCATCATAACATCATACATGTTGGCTAGAGGTGGGGAACACCTCAGCTACTGTGTCGCAATACATGGAAGAAAAAAGAGAAAAAATGCAACTGGTGCAATCCGGCTGAGCTACCGGTAACGGATGGGCATCGTTCCGGTAAGCTACCAGCCGGCTACTGTGCATCAAAAAAACACTATGCAAAAGTATATAAGGCTAAATAGTGAGATCCTGGTTGGAGGAGGAGGCTAAGAGGGATGGGGTGGGACAAAGAAACTCACAGCACAAACGTCACTGAGGTCGGCTCCTTGCCATGTAAACAAGTGTATCCAGCTAAACGTGTTCATCGTCTTTCGGACCCCAACCAGGGAGCCGGGACGCTTCAACCGAGGCCAGCTCAGAAGTGAGGGCCTTCATTCCTCTGGACCAAGTCATTGTTTGGCCACCCCCTCCTCTTCTTCCATCCACACCCCGGACGCGCAAACAACGCACGTCGCGGGAGTCGGTGGGCTGGCATGCGTAACACGTGGTCGAGCCATCGGAGCCTGGTTCGTGAAATGACGGTGCTGAGCGGTTCATTTCCTAGACGGCAGCAGACGCACCAATGGTGTCTACTGCGAGCCATGTGCTGTAAAGTCTCGAGTCAAGCACAAGTTGAGTCATGTGGACTCCAGCCTGGAAGACGAGACGGACCAACGGCATCCAGTTTGGTCGGCAGTGACTTCATTTCACGCCGCCAAGTCAACTTCTGTCCACCTCGAGCCCTGTGTCACCCTACACGTGGCAGACTAAACAAGGCCATTCTAGGTAAGCGGTGACCAGGCACACATAGTACGCGCCCAAGGCAAACGCAACTTATTCAGTGCTATCTGTTGTTCTAAGGAACTAGCTTGGTTATCACTGCTTACTCCTTGCCTACGCACATCATCGTTGCGGACACGCTGCTGTCATCCGACACCAACAGGGCTCTGTAGACAATGATGATCAAAGAATTGAGGGCACCAGAGATCCTCGGAACGAAAGCGCCAAGTCTCACTCCCATGGAGCAGGACGCCGTCACTGTGGCCTCGTATACGCGGCCTTTCAGACGAAGGGAAACTCCCTTCTGTCGCCAAAGATGCCACAGATTCAAGAAGGCAGTTCTGACCTATGCAATGCGCGAACTGCATTCAGTTTCTATGCACCCATCGTTGCTGATACAGCTACTAAGGTAAGTGAATTGATCAACCACCTCGAATTCCTCGTTTTCAAGACGCAAGGGGTCATCAGGTGACTGGAGGTCCTGCAGCAACACTTTGAAGGTGCGAAGCGCATACCAAATAATGGGACCACACTAGACAGGCTATTAAGGGTTTAGTGGACCACCCCAACATCGTTAAACAACAAGACAATATCGCCCGCATAATCAAGATCAACTAATCTTTCACCAGGCAGCACTTCAACGCCTACATCGTGATCTTCCGTAAGCGAACACTCCATGAGGGAGTCCACGGCAAAATTGAACAAAAACGGGGAAATCGGACAACCCAGACGAACGCCACTTGTGGTAGGAAGGCTATCCGACAGGTCACCGTAGACTCTGACGCAGGCCGTAGTGTTCGAGTATAGAGAACGTAAGATGTTCCCATATTTCGTGAGAACACTTTTCCGCGCAAATATTTCGAACAGAATACATCGATCGACTGGATCGAAGGCATTTTTGAAATCGAGGGGCACGGTTAGGGTCGGTCTGCGGTATGCGTCGCGCTGCTCTAGCACATGCCGCAGAGTGAATATATGGCCTATACAGCTCCGTCCAGGGCAGAAACCTGCCTGCTCTTTACTAATCCTGGTGAGCGCATTCGGGACTTAGAGTACGCCGATGACGTCGCTGTGATTTGCAAGTCCTCCCAAGCCGCCCGACATGTGTTGCTTAGACTGGAGATGTCCGCCTCACAATTTGGGTTGACCTTTGTAAGGTCCTGTTAGAGGAATGGTCAAGTGTATGCCCTTCTCTCTGCTTTTCGGGACATCCGCTGGCAGTGGTCCACAAATTCATTTATCTTGGGAGTTGTCTTAGTATCATCGGTTTGGTAGATGAGATCTCCCTGCGTGTCTTCAAGGCTAGAGTCGCTCTCGCTAATCTTCGTCACCTGTGGCTTCGTCGTGACCTCAGCCCCACTGTCAAGGGACGAGTCTACAATGCTACGGTAGGAGCGATTCTGCTGTACGACTGTGAGAATTGGCCCGTTCGCCAAAGCGATGTTAAGCGGCTATCAGTCTTCGATCGCCGCTGCCGGTGAAGCAGTGCTGGTGTGCAACGGCATCATCACATCAGTAATGAGGAAGTCCGTCGGCGAGTCTTCAGATCTAACGAATTCCGCCGACAGATTGATAGCACCATTTCACTGCGGAGGCCTCGCTGGTTTGGGCATGTGCTCTGCATGCCTACACAGTGGTTACCACGGCGAGCCCTATTTGTGAGCACAGGCGTGGGGTGGAAGCGACGAAAAGGACGGCAATGTAAAACTTGGGTGCAACGTGTTAAGGAGCAAATGTTGAAGCTGACTGTGGTTGGGCGTCCCCAACTCCCGAGTTGGAGACCAAAGGACCACGAAGCACATTTGGTAGCAAATCCTAGAGGATATGACCAAGGAAAGTACGCAATGGCGCACTTGTTGTGAGACTCTTCCACCCTAACAGTTGTTCCCCTTTCAATCCATTTTTCCTCTTGTGTTGTGGCACTCAGCCAATTGTACTGTAATTGGCAAAGTGTTGAATATATACAGTCGATTCCGGTTAATAGGACCACCGGTTAATAGGACCAGCCGCTTATTCGGGCCAAATTCTGAAGAACCGAAACGAATTCTATTACGCTAGCCTAATTTTAGCCGCTTATTAGGACCGGAATTCCGCTTAATCGGACCAGACGATAGAATGTGGCAGGTAACAGAGGTGTTAAAATCAAGTTCTGTGCCTGGATGTCTGGACTAAACCCACAGTTCATATGTCGGGCAAGAAAGCGTATCATTCGGTTACGGTAATCCGAGTTGGCCTTTGGATAAACTTAACTGTGGTAACCTTGAGGCACATCTATCTAATTGGCTTCAGAACCGCCCGAAACTGACTGTAGTTTCCAACACTTGTAGGCGGAGCGAAGACATACATGCCTGTTCACATGTCGTTAACCGCTCCATCGATGAACAGCACGTCCATTGAGCCGAATGCCCTGAGCCCGCATTGCGGGCCTACTCATGAGCACGGCAAGTGATCGCGGACACACAGGTCCGGCAAATCATAGGACTGCAGGTGACTAGGTCAACCATAGAAATACCCCGGAGACAGACTCGAGTTCACCTCAGTGAACTGTGCGTGTCTTGTTGCATGTCAAGAAAATGCCACGACGGGACTTGACGTTAGTTGAGAAGATTCGTTTCCTAGATCAGATCAAGGAACAGGGACCAACCACTAGTCAGCGTCGATTGGTGGAAATTACCTGCTTGGCAAAATCTACAATATCGCGCCTGATAAAACAAGAGAAAGATCTGCGAGAAGAACGGGCACAGTGTGAAGGACGACGAGGTACTTCCCAAAAACGGAAGCGTGAAGGCAAGGATCCAGACGTCGATGAGGCCCTTAATGATTGGTTTGCCTTTGTTACTGGACGAGCCGTGCGAGTAAGTGGCCCAATGTTAAAGTACAAAGCGGAAGAACTCGCTAAAATGCTGGGCCACGAAGATTTTATAGCTGCGGACGGCTGGTTGTCTCGATGAAAATCTAGACATGATGTAAAATTTGAGAAAGCACATGGTGAGAAAGAAAGTGCCAATAGCTCTCGAGCTGAAAAATGGAAATCAACAAAACTACCAGAGCTTCTTGAAAAATTTCCAGCAGATGACATCTATAATGCTGATGAAACCAGGTTGTACTATAGGGCTACACCGGACTGCTCCTTAAGTTACAAACATGTTACTCTCTCTGGCTGCAAAAAGGCAATGGATCGCGTAACTGTCTTGTGCTGCTCAAACATGTCCGGAACAGACAAGAGGAAGTTGCTGGTTATAGGAAAATGTGCCAAGCCTCGCTGCTTTAAGGGACTCAGAATAGGCAGGTTACCAGCTGTGTATCGTGCGAACAGAAATGCATGGATGAGCTCTACACTTTTTAAAGAATGGGTGAAGGATTGGGACACAGAGCTACAACGGCAGTCGAGAAAAGTGTTATTACTTCTCGACAATTGTGCAGCACATTCAAATTTGCATTTCTTGAAGAATATCCAGATGGAATTTCTGCCTCCCAACACCACATCTTTGATACAGGCAATGGATATGGGCATCATAAAAAATTTGAAGACATTTTATCGTTCAAGGTTGGTGAATTACATCCTTGAATCAATTGAAGAAGGCTTGCTGACCTCATCCTCGACGGCCGGAGAAATCAGTGCAAAGGTCAACATTTTGCAAGCCGTTACATTCGTGGCCGAAAGTTGGCGATAAATGCGCAGTGCGACAATTCGGAACTGTTTTTCTCACTGTGGCTTTAAGCATATTGTCTCGGAGGTGGATGT